ATATATATATATATATGAAAAAAACAAGAGCAATGCTTGGAACACCACTCTCCAGCCAATACTTCCATTTTCATTGGACCACGTCATGTTGGTTTCCAGAGAGGTCATCAATTCATGGCTCATTAAGCTTGGGTGGCCCAACAAAGAAGCATGCGTTGGCTGGAGAGGGCAGGAGGCGAGTGCCCCTAGCAGCTAACATTGCCCAAAAAAACTAGTACTGCCCAAAAACCAACACCAATCACGTGTCAACATACTACCCACTAAAAAGAGTACCCCTCCATTGTTTCACACTTCCACCTTCTTCGCCTTATCATCTTCTTTCTTTTTCTAACATTTTTCTACATTCAAGCTCGCTTCATGATCCTTATCTACTCCTTTTTCTGGCAACAAATTTTATCCTTCTTTGCTTGAGCAGTGAGCAGCAGCAACCAAATCCTACTATTTAAGGCTGGCTGCACATGATTGGGGTCACCAAATAGATTTCCATCCGCTAGTGCGTGAGATGTGAGCAGTGGCAGTGAACAGCGGCATGCCGGCACCGTAGCAGTACAAAATCTTTCCCTCCCCTGCGGCAAATTTCTGGTAATCTCTTCTTCAATTTTTGTGAAAGTGAAATCGAGATTTCAAACGATTTTACGAAAAAATCGCGCTTTTACGTTTTTATCATCCGATTTTATGAAAATTCGATTTTGAAGTCGATTTTACCTTGTATCCATTTGACAACTGTCATAGACAACTGTCATAGGGAATTAATGATTTGTCAAAAATGTGATATACATCAAATAAAAATAATGACGTGGCATATTATATTTTTGCTCAACACAAAAAAAAAAAAAAGAGCCCACTAAAATTATAATTTTGACAACTGTTATAAGAATTAATGATTTGTCAAAAATTTGATATACATCAAATAAAAATAATGACATGGCATCTTATATTTTTGCCCAACACAAAAAGAAAAAGAGCTCATTAAAATTATAATTTTATCCTCATCTTATCCCTCCAACATTCCCTTTTTCAAATTCTCTCCATTAATCCTTCTTTTTCTCTTTACTTCCTCCAAGTCAACTTTCATCACCATTTTTCTGAATCAAACAATTAATTCAATAAAATAAAATCTCATTATTTATCAATCAAATTTTTTTCTTCTTCATCAAACAACAAAATTCATAAAAATAATTTTTTTAAAAATTTTTTATCCATGAATTCCATTGAACCTAGCACCTAGGTTTCAAAGAACTTGTACCTAAGTTACAATAAACTTAGCTTTTGGGTTCCATCGAACCAAACAGTCATTGGGTTCCAAGGGAAAGGCAAAGGGAAAGAGAAGAAAAAAATTTTTTTTTTAAGTTTTATTTTTCATATTAATATTTTTTATATTATTATTTTTTTATGTTATTATTTTTTGTTACTGTCTTTCACATATATTAATATTTTGTCATGTTATCATATAACTATGAATTAACAGGATATATCATGAGATTTTTAATAATAAAACTAAGTTGAGGTTAAAATGATAAATAATAAGAATCAAATCAAAGAAGTTTTAAGTTTAGAAACTAAATTGAAGGTCAATACAATAATTTAAGGACCAAAATGGAGTTTAACATTGAAATTAATTTTGAAGCCAAAATGTTTTCTAAATTCATTCTTCGGTCCCAGCACCACAAGTTTCAACCATAAGTCCAAAAGCATGGCATGGCCAAAACGCAAACTCATCTTATCTCCAACCTGCGGCTCACATTATATTCCAGTTGGAGTTATTAGAAGTTCTTGACTTGAACTTTCCAATTTCCAAGTCTAACCAACTATTACTACCTTTTGCTCGGGCTAAGTGGAAATCAAGGCGAAGCAAAAGCATTCATTCAACCATAACTAAAGAAGAAACGTTAATTTAACTCTGCAAAAACATGATTTGGAAAAGGAATAGCGAGAAGAATCAGAGCAGGTGCTGCAATGGAACAGATTTTCAAAGAATTCTCCCCACCGGAATCCATTGCTTCTCTGGTAGGCGCGAACGTGCAGTCATCATCTTTCTCTTCATTTTCGTTGCTGTGAGTGACACAGACTCTATTGTCATAATCGTGCCATGCATCTGATTTTTTTTTTTTTTTGGTAATCTTTTTGTTCCATTAATTAATCTTCTATTTTTCTGATTCAAACTTCTCTTTCTCAGTCTATATTATCAGGTGATATTTATCGGAAACTAATTATTCACTCTAATTCTATAAGAAGCGGAGTCGAAAAAACGGAGTTTCCCTTGCAGTGCAATACAGGAAAACAAACACAAGAATGTCCAATGGACTACCCGACCACACACAACCCCGCTAATATTCCTGACCCTAAATCAAGCATCATATGCCCGTCATACTACCGGTGGATCCACGAGGATCTACGGCCCTGGAAGGACACCGGAATCACCAGGGACATGGTGAAAGAGGCTCGTAAGACTGCTCATTTCAGGCTGGTGATTAAGAACGGGAAGGCATATGTAGAAAAGTACAAGAAGTCAGTTCCAACTAGGGATGTGGTTACTCTCTGGGGAATCCTCCAGCTCTTGAGATGGTACCCCGGAAGATTGCCCGACTTGGAACTTATGTTTGGTTGTGGTGATCTCCCCGTGGTTCCATCCCATAAATTTAAGGGTCCAAAAGCTCGTCCCCCACCATTGTTCCGATACTGTTCCGACGAGAGGAGCTTGGACATCGTCTTCCCGGATTGGTCCTTCTGGGGGTGGTAATTGTCAATCGCATTTTCTGTTCCTTTCTCTTTCTTTAATGTCTTATTCTCTATTACTACTCCTCCTTCTCGACAGGGCAGAGACAAATATAAGGCCATGGAAGGATTTGTTGGAGAACATCAAACAAGGTAACAATAGGACCACATGGAAGGAAAGGGCGCCCTATGCTTATTGGAGAGGAAACCCAAGCATGGCAGTAACAAGGCAGGACCTTATGAAGTGCAATACCTCTGATAAAAACGATTGGAATACCCACCTCTATATTCAGGTAAATTAATTCTTTCAATAGCTGCTGGTCCAATGGGATAAAAGGTGGCTGTATTTGCAACTAATATAAAAAAATGATATAGTTATAATATCATGTGGTACTATAAGTCTATAACCTTATAATTATGATATGTCATTATTTGTATTTCCTCAAAAATCATTGGTTGGTCCTTATCATATGAGTTTACATTTACGGAAATAATTTTTTATAACATTTTTGTCTTATATTTTTATATAACTTGATATATCATAAAAATAATTGATTTTTTTAATTCATATGAGACATATGATATTAAATACATTCACTTATTTAATGACATGTGAAAGTTGTATAAAAAATAATATAAAAAATTTATCTCTATAGTATCACCGTTAAATTTAAGACATGCTACACACCTTATTTAAAAACAAGAAAATAAGATTTTTTTCAATTACCTCATGTTTTTAGCGATTGACTTCCAAGTAAAATAATTGGAAAAGACATTTGCCTGTAATTTGTTCGCTGAGATGAGATTATGAAACAAAGGGTGGTATTATGCAAAATAGGTTATCAATTGCTTTGAAAAACTTAGAGTACTTTAAAACCAAAAAGATGTATAAAAGATTATAAATCTTAAATTAAACACAAATCTTAAAACAATTATCCTAAAACAATACAAAAACAATAAGCGAACAAGGGAAATTCCCAAACAACTACCTGCACAAATCTACAAACCAAGGTTACAACTATGCAGACCATACTGAATTTCAGACATAAATAATTAGAACAATTCCGAATTAAACTATGATTAATTAACTTACTTGAAGATTGTAGATTTGATACTAAACTAGACCAAAACGCAGACCGGGTTTAATTCTAAAACTAATTTATTTTTTTTTATTTTTTTTTATTTTTGGTTTCCCGCTTGGTATTCGGGGTTTCGCCTCGACTAATCCGGACTCAACCCACGTCGCGCACCTGAAAATGGTGGGTGAGTCTCCCAATAAAGACTGCTGCGTACACAAGGGCTCGAGTTCAAAATCTTGCTTAAGCTAAAATAAGCTGCTTACTACTTGATCCAACCCCTCATTGGTACTAATTTAGTTTATGTTCAACCTAAACTAACACTAATCAACCTACTTTAAAATCAAAGTTAAGAAGGTAAATCAAAAATTGAAAATTAATGAGATCTATCAGTAAATGAACAACCGAACAAAACGTCTCCTACAAAACATGAATTTTGCATAGAAGAAATCATGGTGGAAGTAAACAGATAGCCCTTAAATAAAATGCTTAAAGGTGTAAAATCCATCATAAAATCACTGCGAAATAAATAGGAGAGTCCCAAATTATAAGGCCGGTTCACTTCCAAGTTCTACAATGGAAAGTTGCGAAAGATAGCAAAGAACAAGAAATCAACGAACAGAAGTCTGAAATCTATGCAAAGAAACTGCAGATCGATTCAAAGCTAAAATTGATGAGCGCTGGGTGATTTTCGAGAGAGGCAGAAGAAACTGATTTTTCTCCCTTGTTTTCCTTTTCTTTGAGGCTGGCGCAGTTGTTCCATGATTTTTGGCCCTCTGCTATACGTCTGATGGCAGTTTTCTCAGGTTTGGCAATTAAGAGTTTGACTCCCTATCCAACACAAATAAACCCTAACGTAACATTCTCTTAAAAAC